TGGGCATTTCGTATATTTGGCATGTGTCTGTTGCTTTTATATCCCAAATACTTTGTTACTTGAATGTGGGGAGCTCTTGAAATGGAACCAAAAAGACATGCAGTAAATGTTCTTCACATGACCCCCTTCATTCAATTCATTCAAAAAAAAAAACATTTATTAAAGGATTATCTTGGGCAAAGAGGGCAGCTAGGTGGCCCGGTGAATAGAGGATGGGGCTTGGAATCAGGAAGACTCATCTTCCTGAGTTCAAATCTGGCCTCAGAAACTTAGTAGCTGTGCAACCCTGGGCAAGTTACTTAACCCTGTTCGCCTTAGTTTCCTCATCTGTAAAATGATTTGGAGAAGGAAATGGCAAACCACTTCAGTATGTGAGCCAAGAAAATCTCAAATGGAGTCACAAAGAGTTGGACACGACTGAAACAACACAACACTGGGTAGAGAACTATCCTAGGTGCCGGGGCAGAAACAAAGGTTGGATTGTTCTCATGGGACTTGCAGTTTAATAGGAGAAATGACTCCAAAAGTAATTATAATATGTAAGATTACATGAAAAGTGCATCAAAGTGCCACTGAAGGGCTGGAAGAGAACATTACAGATACAAGGAATTAAGAAAAGCTTCATGAAGGAGGTAGCATTTGAACTGAACTTAAAAGGAGTAGAAATTCAATAGTTAAAGGATAAAGAAGACCCACTTCAGGTAAAGTGAATAGTATAAGCAAAGGCACAGAGACAAATGGTAGGGCATCCTTGGAGAGTTTGGCTAGATCATAGAGGGAATCATATGAGATAAGGCTGAAAAGGTAGAGTGGCATTGGCTTGTGGTAGGCACCAAATGTCAGGCAAGATCACGAACTTTAATCCCTAGGCAAGGGAGAGCCATTTGAGGTTTTTAAGCAAGGGTATGATATGTCCATATCTATGCATATAGAAGGTTTTTATGTGATGGCATGAAGAGTGGATTGGTTGGGAAAGAGGAGAAGTTGAAAGCCCTCTTAGGAAAAAGAGTTCAGGGAGGTGGTAACAAAGATCAGTACTAGTGTTGGAGCTCTTGGGACAGATGTGACAGATGTTGTAGAAGCATGACTGGCAGGACTTGTTAAGTGATTAGAAATGATAATAGCTTCTGAAACCTAAGAAAAGGTCTCAGGGATATTTGGGGTCTCTGGCTCGAGAAAGCAGGCCTCCTCTTTCATATCCTTATTTCCATCTTACACATGTTAGGTGCCTCTGTAAAGATTGGTTTTCTTTCAATTTGTACCTGAGAATCTAGGCTGTTTATTCATTCCATTTTGGACTTGTTTGCAAAATCCCTCAACATCATCAATAGAAAGCAAATCAGTTCTGGAGGGAGACATACTTCTCCTGCCTCACCCCAAGTGTTCCAGTTAAGGATGTGGGACTAAATCTTATAGACCTTAGCCTTTTTTTTTCCTGCTGACCTGAACTCTTAAAATGTTCAATTCAAATACCATTTTAGAGGTTTATGGTGACAACAACAACAACAACAACAATAATAATAATAATAGCAATAGTAATAATAGCTAGCATTTATATAGTGCTTTAAAGTTTCAAAAGTCCTTTGTATTTGATGAGGCAGTGTGTCAGCTCAAGTCTCACTTCTGACACATACCAGTTGTGTGGTCCTACACCAGTCCCTTTTCCTGTTAGTGTTCTGGCACCTCTCTGAGATTACAGGTTGTATAGAAGGTGTCTTGGTCTGCACTGGTAGAGGGAATTTTCTTACCCAAGAATTCCTTATACCAAATTCAATCACAGGTCCATTCATTCTCTATCTTCCTTAGAATTCAATATGTTATAGGATCTTAGATTTGTTGTTGTTGGTCCTTCATTTTCGAAGAGGTGATATACTGACTTGCACATGAATTGGATTTAAGTAAGGCAGAGTTGCACAAAGGCAGCAGCCTCACTCTTTCTTCCACAGTCATCGAAGTCCAGTGGCAACACAAAAGTTAGGATGGCTGGCAATGGCCCAGGTTGCAGTGGATGAATTTGGTATCTTCTATGTCTGACCAAGCTCTAAACACTCTGCAGTTCCTGCCTCAGCTGCCTTCATGGCCATTGGAACAAATTATTCTCATCTATCCATTCTCTGGGAGAGATGTCTTCACATGCTTGGGGTAGACATCCCCTTAACTCACCAACAGCCTGTTGACTACCCTCAACCTGGTTTAGCCCGTCTGCTGAGATGGTTTTAATAGGTTATGGCCACTGTGCATGCTACAGCTTCTTGGAACCACAGGTGAGAGTTGGGTGAAAGGTAGACACCAAAGATAGATGAGCAGCTCTGAAAATGGCTCAGCAAGCCCTCACATCTGACCACTCCCTGAAGGACCTCGCCGAAAACCCCAAATGCCCCAGAATCATAGATTTAGAGCTCTAAGGGACTACGGAGATAATTGAATCCAAAACCCACCTCTTCCCACTTTGCAGACGAGTAAACTAAGCCAAAGATATGTTAAGTGTCTTTCTCAGGATCACACAATCAATAACTATATATTCTGGGATTCAAACCCAGGTCCTCCTGACATTTTCCTCATAAGTTTGTGAGAAAGGTTTTATAGGAACTAAACTAAGGCTTAGAAAACTGACTTTTCAGGAACCGCTAGGTGGCACAGTGGATAGAGCACTGGCCCTGAAGTCAGGAGGACCTGAGTTCAAATCTGGCCTCAGACCAAACACTTGACACTTACTAGGTGTGTGACTCTGGGCAAGTCACTTAACCCCAATTGCCTAAAAAAACAAAACAAACAAAAAAAACTTTAAAAAAAAGAAAAACTGGTTTTCCCAGGTGCTGGGGCAGAAACAAAGGTAAGATATGACATGGTCCCTGTCTTCATGACCATTTCCTAAGATTATACGATTTATATAAGTTTTTTTTTTTTTAGTTGAGACACAATCCAGGTCTTCTGCCTCCAGAGATTCAGTGACAACAAGAGCTAGAGTTTATATATTGCCTTAAGATTCACAATACATATTACCTCCATCATCTCCTTTGGTCCTCTGAACAACTCTGTGAGGTAGGTGCTATTATCATCCTCATTTAACCGATGAGGAAATTGAGACTCACTGAGGTTAAGTGACTTGCCCAGGGTCACACAGCTAGTGCGTGCCCAAGGCAGGATTTGAACCCAAGTCTTCCTGTCTCTAAGTTCAGCTTTTTATTTGTATCACTTAGCTGATCTTTCTACTATTACCATGTAGGTGATTAAAAGGATTCCTTTACGTGGAGCAACAGGGAACGAGAAGGACTTTTTATCTACGTATCCTCTGCCTTATGAAAAAATGATAGAGATGGAAAGCAGGAAAAGAGGATCACATAGTAACTATTATCTATTTTTTTGTTTATTCTTCATTCCATGTCAAGCAGTGTGTTCAAGGTCATATTTTAATAATTTTTTTTAAGTGACCACATTAGGAGAGGCAAATGACTGGGTTGCATTCATCTCCAGCTTCTTAGAATTTAAATCAGAGGATCAAATAAGGGTCAGATCATTATTTCTTGCAATGGCTGGGCTTTATAACACCTTTTATTTTTCAGTTAGGTGGTGAAGTGGATAGAGTACTGGGTCTGAGTCAAAAAGATCTGAGTTCAAATCCAGCCTAAGGTACTTCCTAGCTGTGTGGTCCTGGGCAAGTCACTTTCTATTTCCTCAGCTGTAAGACGGAGATGATAACAGCATCTAACTCTCAGAACTGTTGTGAGGATCAAAGGAGATAATATCTGTAAAGTGATTAGTACAGTGCTTGGCATATAGTAAACACTTAATAAATTCTTGTTTCCTTGTTTCCTTCCTTTCTCAGGAAGAAGGAAAAGGACATCAGTGTTATCCCTCAAGAAAGAAAACATCATATTTAGGGTCACTGATCCCAAATTTTGGTCTTGGTCCCTTCTGATTAGATTTGAGCAGCAAAAATGTGGTACTTTTCTGTCCAGGTTCTTGCTTCTGGTTATTTACCAAGTGACCTAATAAGATGAGTACCTTCTGAATAGCAGACATAGTGCCAAGTGTTGGCAGGACATAGGAAAGAGGGAGAAGTCATGATACTTGATCGCTTTCACTAACCTGGAAGACCTACCCACTTCTGATTCTTTCCCACACTATTTACCATTTGAGCTTCTTGGGCTATGTTGAACTCCTCTATTTATATTATGGACGTGTGAGTGAAAGGTGACCAATCTAGAGAGTCAGGTGGACTTAGCTATACACTCTGTCTTGAGAGGATAACAATTGACCCTGACCAACAAGAAATAGGCAGATCATTCCTTACTTCCCATAATGGTCACCGCTATTTGCTGAGCCCTCATCTCCCAATCACTCTATGAAGAAGAGGAGGGATGTACTGTGGTTAAGAATTCATGCAAAAACATCACGGTGGATGCACGCTAGAGGACATTTCTTGAAATCATGCGCCATTACTGCTCTACAAACACATAGCAAAAGCAAGTGGCCACAGCGATGTCAACTCGGGACTGATCCCAGCTTTGCTGCCAGAGTTCACGGGGGGAATTTCAAGTTGTTGCTATTTTTCTTTTCTTTTCTTTTTTGTTGTGCATAGTTTGATTATTATTAATTTTGTAAATGAGCTATGACATTTGGCCAATAATTAACTTTTTTTTTTTTTAATGCACGGAAATGACCTTTCTGGGTTACTGCAGAAAAGACATGAGCTACTGAGCTCATAGAGGTATATGGGTACTTCCATTCCTCTAAAAGCAAGGACAGAAAAACCACACACCCAGGCCTGAAACTCAGTAGTTGTGCAGGCAGCTTTTATAAAAAAAATAATTTGCTCTTTTGCAAATCCATCCCTAGAAGAGAAGCTGCAAACAGGGTACAAGGATGTTGGAGGCGAGAAAAGCACCAAACTCCACCCCAGCCCAAATTAAAACTCAAAACAACACAAAAACAAACCAAAAAGAAAAATAAGCCAAAGAAAAGGTGGAAGGGAAAAAAAAAAACTCAGCTGAACTTACCACACTGCGAGTGAACTTTTCTAAGGAAGTTCTACGACCTTGCTCATTTTCTGGCTTTGGGGGAAAAAAAATTGGGAGAAAAATACAGGGAAAAAAATCTTCAGCTTAGATGCAGTTTTAAAAGGGCAGCAAAAGTCAAAGAAAGAAGCCAAAAGAAAAGCAAAACCAAAAAACAACAACAAAAATCCAGGGTTGAGGGGAAAGCAGTCAGTGCTGTTTGCAAGAGGAAACAGAAACTCTCTAAGGAAAATGTCACCAACTTCTTTGCCTAGAGGGGAGAAGGACTCAATATTTCATCTCTCCAGGTTTCATGACCTCCTTTAACTGCATAAATTAGAAGCTACCAACACTTCCCAGGTGAGTCCCAAGGCCTAGTCAGCTTGCTCTAGAACTCACTGTTTTCCCATTGGCCTTTGTTTATAAGATAAAGCAGGCTGCCATCTTGGATTCTCCTCCCCGCTCCCAATCATTTCAGGCCAAGCACCTCAAGTGGAAATTTTTTTTTTATCTGAGTGTAACATCAATCAGAAATGTGTCACAGAAAGAAGAAATCAGCCCAGTAGATTTTAGCAAGCAAATAAAGAAAGCCTTTATTTCCCTGTAGCAATATCCTCCCCAGATACTCGGAAATCTGGGTTTTTCTCTACTCTTAATGACTTCTATTGAAAGGCTTCTGTGTTAATCTACCATACTACTACTGTGGCATGGCAGGAAGCACCAGTCTGATCTTATCCATGCCCTTTTATTAACAAAAGGATAGACTGCACCTTAAAGGGCCATCTTCAGCATTGTAATTAGAATAGGCCAATGCAGACTTTTCCCGCAGGGCCCTGATAGTACTTGTAGTCTTCCTGCATTTTTTTTTTTAAATGGGGCTTAGCACCTAGTTAGCAAAAATGATTAGTTAAAATTGGAAACTACCAGATGCTTCGCTGTGAAGCAGGTCCCAGGTGATCTCTCTTCTAGCCCACCACTTCTCCTTTTCCCTTCTGTAGCTTTCTCCCCCAAGTGGTACCCCAAGCATCACTTGAGGGAGAATCTGATACTGCTTGCTCTGGGTATCACAGATAGTGATTCATAACTGGGGGGAAAAATCTGCCAGCTCTGGGAACTGGGCCCTTTCATCCATGTGAGGAAAAGCTGGTGAAGCTTCCCCGTGGTCCTATGGAAAATTCTGTTATGCCTAAACGCTTCCACTGACAAATGTCCATCCAGTGTTCTGGAAACTGGCAAAGCATCACATGGGGCTCACTCAACGTTGCTTAAGCAGCAAACCTGGGATGATGAGGTTGGGGGCAGGGAGTATAGGAAAGAAATCAGGAACAAAGACCAGGAAATCTCCATGCTCTGTGGGCTGGTTGGGTGTGCATGCTACCAGTCTGGAGGTACAGGTGTGTGCCTGTTCATTGAGCCCCTCTCCAGCATTTTCTGCCAGTATGATTCAGAAGAGTGTGGTCACAACCCACACAACTGCTAGTCTGCCCTCAAGCTCAGTTCCTGGGGCCCGTGTTTGAGGTAGCCTTACAAAGTAGAGGAAGGAAATTCTGAAAAAAGAAAAGAAAAGAAAAGAAAGAAAAATGCTACCAAACAAAGAAAAAAAATTAAGGCAATGAAGAAGCCAGGTGTCTGTGGCTTTGCAGGATATAGTGAAAGCCTGGGGAGTGGGCCAAAGACACTCATCTGCCTGCATTGCAGATAACACATACTGGCATACCCGGCCCCAGCATGACAGCAAAGTCACTCAGCAGGAGGAAAAGCAGATACACAAGGAAAACAAAGAAACAATGACAAAAAGACCATGGTTAAACGTTCTTCCAGTATGTAGATAATAAAAACTGTATGCCTGACCCTGGATAACATAACAAGTCTCCTCTTCATTGGGATGACATAATTCAACTTCAGGCTAGTGGTTAAAAGGGGGTGGGGAGGATACACATTTGGCTCAGAAGAGACCATTCCTAGTTCCTACTGCTTGATTACTGCCCTGATCAACTTCTAGCCCCTGGTCACTAAGTTGCTTAATCACAGAAAGGTTTGTTAAATACCCAACTCTAGATTTCCCTCGAGGAGGAGGAAAGGACCTTGATTTGGAACAAAGTTCGTTCTCCTGGTTAAGACTTTTTGTTTCCCTGGGAAAGTCATGTCACCGTTATTTCATAAGTACTAGGAAGCACACTAAGATTGATTTGAATCCCTGATCATCTATTAATGCAGCCCAAGGTTGCATTACCTTTTGGGGCTGCTATGTTACACTGTTGACTCATGTTGAGTTTGCAATCTACTAAGATCCCAGGATCTTTTTCAGAGAAACTGGCTCATCCTTCAAGGAACTTGTGGAGGTTTTGTTTTTTTTTTTAATGTCAAAGGATCAGAAAGACATCCCTACAAATGCAGTGAAGGGACTTTTCATAGCAGTAACAATTAAGGAGGAAGACTTATGAATGCTCTCCCTTTCTGGAATAAGTGACCCTAGTAAGGATGTGTGTGTGGGATTTCCACCTCCATCCTCTTTCGGGTTCACCTGCTCCCTCCCTCATCTGCAGGCCCCCATGACATGACTGCTCTTGTCACAGAGAATGTGCATTTTCTACATTTGGCACATATGCAGTGGGTAAATCAGATCTACCACTGGAAATCCATTGGAAGGCTAGAAGCCGAGAAAAGTAGGACTAATCTGGTCTTGCATAGTGCTTAATGCCATTATCTTTGAATACAACCATGACACTGAAAGGTTTTTTTTTTTTTTTGAAAGAGTTATGCACTGAAGGAGAGCCTAGTGAAATGTGATCATTACACTGTTATTGGTAATTCATAGAGAGGCCCAGAAGTTTATTCCTTAGCCAAATAAATACTCTCTAATGAATTCATACGTTTAACCTGAGCATCTGGGAGCAACTTAGACTTTCTTTTTTTACTGCTTCTCATGCCTTTTGTGAACAAACTTTTCCCCTTCCCACCCATATCTCTACTACGGCCTGAAGGAGCATTTTATCTTTCCCCTTCTTAGCTTCCAAATAGGCTCAGATTAGTTTACTCTACACTTACACAACTCTGGACTTCCTGGGACACCGAGAAATGGTGATTAGTTAGGGGATCCCAAGGCCACAAGGAACTCACTTTGACCTTCCCTGGGGAGAACTGAATTAATTTATTAAATTAATTAAATTAATTAATTAATTAAAAGTCTCTCTTTACAATAACACTAAAAGAAAGGGTGTTGAAGGCATTTACAGGAAGCGCTGTTTCCCTGTCTCCTTCTCTCTGCTCTCCCTTTTCCAATCAGAACCTCTTTTAGGCTAGCAGGGTCCCTTGCAGCAAGGATACTGCCATATGTACTGAGGAGGAGAAGGAAGGAGGAAAAACATGATCAAAGACCATGGAATTATATGATACCAAACAGTATACAGAGACAGTATAATAGAAACCCCACAAAGCAGCATCCAGTGTCTCATGCACATACAAAGTGGGCTACACAGTTGAGGGAGACACCAGCAAAGAACATGTTGATGGAAAACCAAGAGCTTCAGGAAAAAGGATCAAGAAGAGAGAGATGGGAAGAGAAAAGGTGGGGAGAAAACATTTGTTCTAAAGGGGTATGGAAGTAGACTTTGTTATAATTGGGCATCACGCTCAGTCATCTGGAGGACATGAGACTATTCTGGAAAGTGTAGAAAGCATTTAAACACAGTCTGATGAAATGCAAAGTCAGCTCTCCTGCTCCCCCTCTTCCACCCCATCCACCCTTGCCCAGAGGACCATCTAGATTTCACTGGAGTTTATCTTTGTTCCAGCCACTCTTCCCTCACCTGCATTTTTCAGGATTCCTGGCCCCCCAGAGGACTGCAGAAAACCATGACTTAGTTTCAAAGAAGGAAGAAAGAAGCCAGGCAACTAGATTCTATGCAAGGCTTAAAGGTTCTTCTGGGTTAAATAAAAACGCTTCAGGTTGGGTGGGGTGAGGAAAAGGGTCAGAGGGGATGTTGTCACTCCAAGGATGACTTACGTCATGGAGCCAGCAGAATTTTCTAGGCAAAGAAAGTTGCCAGTCCAATTTCTTTACCATCAAACGGCCTCATTCACCTCTCTGTGAGAGTCAACAAGAGGTCAACCTCTGTAGCAACCTACTTGTCTCATCCCCTGAATGGGATGCTGGACTTTTATGACCAACACTGATTGCAACCTTTCATCTGGCCCCCTTTTCCCTCTGTGGGTAGCACATGCAGAATACGGGAATAGGGACACAGTGGGAAGGATTTCATATCTTGGACCTTTGTGGTTAGGAAACAATCATTCTCATTCTTTCAACCAGAAAAAAATAAAAAAGTAGCCGATAGGAGAGGGTGAGAAGGAAGAAAAACAAACAGAAAGCTCACGAAATAATAGTCTCATTTTCACACTCGCAGCAAGCAGCAGGCAAGAATCAATAGGTGCTAAGAGAGGCAAGCCTATCTATCCCCCCCAAATACCTTCTTCTTTGCCTGTAGTAAGTCCTGGTAAGCATTAGACCGAAGGAACCGGGTGTAGCTGTCACTCTTCATCAGCTTATAAATGTGCTCCTAGAAGATGAGAAGAGGACAAGGAAGACATCAGAAAGCATTGTCATCTAACACCAATCAGAAATTACCAAACTTATTCAACTAATTAAAAGATTCAAGGGAGCAGGGGGAGATATGCTCAACTATACCAGCAGATGAGTTCATCACATGATTTTTCAGCCAGAAAAATAAATTTTCCTTCATAGAATGAAAGATCCTACTGGTCAGAGAAGTAGGAACTAATAAATGGTCCTTTTTTTAAAAATTTCAATTTTATTTCATCTTCAGTCCTAAATTCTTCCTCTCACTTTTACCTCCCCTCCCACATTGAGAAAATGAGTAAAATGAAGCCCCTTAAAAATATGTATAGTCAAGCAAATTCCCACATTGGCCATGTCCTAAAAGAAAAGCAAAAAACAAATTACCCTCTGAATCTATCACCTCTCCATTTAAAGGTGGGTAGCAGGCTTCATCAGGGGCAGCTAGATGGTGTGGTGGGTACAGTGCCAGGCCTAAAGTCAGGAAGACTCATCTTCTTGAGTTCAAATGTGGCCTCAGACACTTACTAGCTGTGTGACCCTAGGCAAGTCACTTAAACCTATTTGTCTCAGTTTCCTCATCTGTAAAACGAGCTGGAGAAGGAAATGGCAAACCACTCCAGTATCTTTGCCAAGAAAATAAGGTCACAAAGAGTTGGACAAACAACTGACCAACAAGCATGTCTTATCATGAATCCTCTGGAATTGTGGTTGGTCATTGTGTTGAACAGTCTTTTAAAGTTGTTTGTTTTTACAATATTGTTGTTATTATGTAATTTTTTCTCCTGATTCTGTTCACTTCACTTTGCATCCGTGTCTACAAATCTTCCCAGGTTTTCCTGAAATCATCCCCTTCATCTTTCCTTACAGCACAATAGTATTCCATCACATTCACATACCAGAATTTGTTCAGTCATTCCACAATTGATGGGTACACTCTCAGTTTCTAATTTGTTGCTATCACAAAAAAGTGTTACTATATATATTTTTGTACACATGAGTCCTTTTCCTCTTTCTTTGATTCTTTGCGATATAGACTTAGTAGCAATATCACAGAGTTAAAGAGTATGCATGCATAGTTTGATAACTTTTTGGGAATATCTCCAAATTGCTTTCCACAATGACTGGACCAAATTCATAGCTCTACCAATAGTATATTAATATACCTGTTTTCCCATAGCCCCTCTAGCATTTGTCTCTTTCCTCTTTGTCATCTTTGTCAATTTGATGGGTATGAAGTGGTACTTCAGAGTTGTTTTAATGTGTGTTGTTCATTTGTTCAGTTGCATCCTACTCTTCTGACCTCATAGATGACAGCATGATAGGCCCTTTTTCCTCCAATATCTTCTGAAGTCTGTCCAAGCTCATACTTCTTGCTTCCATGATACTACCTATTCATCTCAGCCTCTGCTGTCCCCTTCTCCTTTTGCCTTCTATCTTTCCCAACATCAGGTTCTTTTCCAGTGAGTCCTGTCTTCTCATTATGTAGCCAAAGTATTTAAACTTTAGCTTCAGTATTTGACCTTTGAGTGAAAAATCTGAGTTAATTTCTTTAAGTATTGATGGATTTGATCTCTTTGCTGCCCAAGGGACACTTAGAAATCTTCTCCAGCACTACATTTTGAAAGCATCGATTCTGCAATGCTCAACTTTCCTTAGGGTCCAACTCTCAGATATATTACTACTGGGAAAAAAAAAAACTATAGCTTTGAGTATAAAGACCTTTGTTGGCAAAGAGGAGTCTCTGCTTTTTAGTATGCTGTCCAGATTTGCCACAGCTTTCCTTCCAAGGAGGAAGTATCTTTTGATTTCATAGCTACAGGCAGCATCTTCAGTGACCTTTGAGCCCAAGAACATAAACTACGACACTGATCCCATTTCTTCTTCCTCTATTTGCAAAGAAATGATGGGTCTAGTTGTCATGATCTTAGATTTTTTTTAATGTTAAACTTCAAGCCAGCTTTTACACTCTCCTTTTTCACCTTCATCAAGAGGCTTTTAATTCTTCCTCACTTTCTGCCATCAGGGTGGTATTGTCCACATATGTGAGATTGTTGATATTCCTCCTGGCAACCTTAATTCTGGCTTTTGATTTGTCCTGCCCGGCATTTATTTTGATGTATTCTGCATGTAAGTTAAATAAATAATGTGACAACATACAACTTTGTTGCACTTTCCCAGTCTTAAACCAATCAGTCGTTCCATGTTTGGTTCTAACTCTTGCTTCTTAACCTGCATACAATTTCCTCAGGAAACAAGTAAGATGATCTGATACTCCCATCATTTTGAAGACTTACCACATTTTGTTGTGATCCATGCAGTTAAAGGCTTTAGTGTGGTCAATGAAGCAAAAGTAGATGTTTTTCTGGAACTCCCTTGCTTTCTTCATCATCCAGTGAATATTGGCAATTTGGTTTCTACTTCCTCTGTCTCTTGGAAAACCACCCTGCTCTCCTGGTAATTCTTGGTTTACAAATTATTGAAGTCTAGCTTGTAAAATCTTAAGCATAATCTTGCTGGTGTGTGAAGTGAGTGCAATTGTTTGGTTGAACATTCTTTGGCACTGACCTTCTTTAGGATTGGGCCATAAACTGAACTTTTCTAATCCAGTGGCCACTGTTGAGTTTTTCGAATTTGCTGGCATATGGAGTGCAGCACTTCAACAGTATCATCTTTTAGGAATTTAAATAGCTCAGCTGGAATTCCAAAACCTCTATTAGCCTTATTGTTAGCAATGCTTCCTAAGGCCCACTTGACTTCATTCTCAAAGATGTCTGGCTCCAGATCAGTAACCACACCATCATGGTTATTGGTGATGTTAAGATCTTTCTTATATAATTCTTCTGTATGTTCTTGCCACCTCTTCTTAATCTCTTCTATGTCTGGTAAGTCCCTATCATTTTTGTCTTGGCACATTTTTGCAGGAAATTGTTCCCTTGATATCTCTAATTTTCTTTTCTTTTTAATAGTATTTTCCCCCAGTTATATGTCAAGAAAATTTTTAGCATTCCTTTTTACAATATTTTGAGTTACAAATTTTTCTCCCTCCCTCCCCTCCCCTCTTCCAAAAATGGTAGGCAGTTTGATATAGTTTATACATGTGCTATCATGTAAAAATATTTCCATATTAGTCACAGTTGTAAAGAAGAAACAGATCAAAAGGAAAAAAAATACCAAAAGAATAATATGAAAAAAATATACTTTGATCTGCATTCAGAGTTGATCGGTTCTTCTTCTGGATATGGATTTCATTTTCCTTCATGGGTCCTTTGTACTTGCCTTGAATCATTGCATTGCTGAGAAGAGCTGGGTCATTCATAGTTGACATCACACAATGTTGCTGATGCTGTTTACAATGTTTTCCTGGTTCTGCCCATTTCACTTTGCATCAGTTCGTACATGTCTTTCCAGGATTTTCTGAAATCTACCTGTTCATCATTTCTTATTGCACAATAGTATCCCATTCCATTCATATGCCACAGCTTATTCAGCCATTCCCCAATTGATGGGTATCCTTTCAATTTCCAATATTTTGCCACCATGATAAAAGCTGCTGTAGTATTTTTGCACATATAGGTTCTTTCCCCTTTTTCATGATCTCTTTGTTATTTTAGTGGTATTGCTGGATCAAAGGGTATGCACAGTTTGGTTGGCCTTTGGGCACAGCTCCAAATTGCTCTCCAGAATGGTTGGATCAGTTTACAACTCCACCAACAGTGTATCAGTTTCCCAATTTTCCCACATCTTCTCCAACACTGATCATTTTCCTTTTTTGTCATAATAGCCAATCTTATGGGTTTAAGATGGTATCTCAGAGTTGTTTTAATTTTCATTTCTCTAATCAAAAATGATTTAGAACATTCTTCATATGCCTATAGATAGCTTTGATTTCTTCATCTGAAAACTGCTTGTTTATATCCTTTGTCCATTTATCAATTGGAAAATGGCAAGTATTCTTATAAATTTGACTCAGTTCTCTATACATTTGAGAAATGAGACTTTTATCAGAGACACTTGCTATAAAGATTGTTTTTCAGCTTTCTGCTTTCCTTCTAATCTTGGTTGCATTGGTTTTGTTTGTATAAAAACCTTTTAATTTAATATAATCAAAATTATCTATTTATATTTTGTAATGCTCTCTTATCTCTAATTTTCTTGTAGAGATCTCTTGTTTTCCCCATCCCATTGTTTTCTGCTATTTTTTTACATTGCTCGTTTAAGAAAACCTTCTTATCTCTCCTTGCTATTCTCTGGAACTCTGCATTCAATTGGGTATATATTTCCCTTTATCCTTTCCCTTTCCTTTTTTTCCTCAGCTATTTGTAAAGCCTCATCAGACAAACATTTTGCTTTCTTGCTCTTCTCTTTCTTTGTAACGTTTTTTGCTGCTGCCTCTAGTACAATATTGCAAACCTCTGTCCATAGTTCTTCAGGCATTCTACCTACCAGATCTAATCCCCTAAATTTATTTATCACCTCCACTTCATATTAATCAGGGATGCTCTTTAGGTCACACTTACACAGTCTGATGCTTTCCCCTACTTTCTTGAATTTAAGTATGAATTTTGCAATAAGAAGCTCATGATCTGAGCCACAGTCAGCTCCAGGACTTGTTTTAACTGACTGTATAAAGCTTTTCCACCTTTGGCTGCAAAGTGTGTAATCAATCTGATTTCTATATTGACCATCTCGTAATATCCACGTATAGAGTTGCCTTTCGGGTTGTTGAAAATGAATGTTTGCTGCGACCAACGAGTTATCTTGATAAAACTCTATTATTCTCTGCCCTGCTTCATTTTGCTTTCCAAGGCCAAATTTTCCTATTTTTCCAATTATCTTTTAATTTCCTCCTTTAGCATTCCAATCCCCTATGATGAATGTGACACCATTTTTGGTGTTATTTCTAGAAGATGTTATGAGTCTTCATAGAACCGAGTAACTTTGGCCTCTTCTCCATCAGTGGTTGGAACATAGACTATTTAG